CCTTTGGTTCTTTCATTTCAACATAAAATTTAGAATGATTTGTTTATAATATTAATTACTATTTTTAAGCACAAAATGAAATTTAAGAGCAATGACAGAGATTATACATAATATACATTTCAGTCTGTTCTTTATACAAAGCTATTATATAGCTTCAAAAGACTTTGTAAGTCATATGGACTACATTTATTGTGCCTTTTTGGTGTTTGACACTGCATGCTTTTTTGTTTTGTTTTGTTGCTTTTTTATGCAAAAGAACAGTTTAAAGCCATCTTGCAAAATGTTCCACTAAAAAATGTTTTGTCACAACATGAGGGTGAATATGGGGGATACTTCTTTTCAGGATCAAAAGAACAACATTTATTTGGAACATAACTTTTGCAGAGTTATAAATGCCTTTACTTTCACTTTTTAGCAATTTAATGTCCGATAGTGTAACACCTTGAACTTAAATATTATTTTCCTCACAATTAAAAAAAAGTTACCATAGGGTCAATCAATGGTTTTTCAAATATTTACATAATAATATGAATATTATATTCTGTTAAACATTTGAAACATCTTCAATTTACCCTATCATAAATGTCACTCTTAAATTGTCAGCATAATATTTTCTCTTTGTTTAATGGATATATAATATTTCACCTCTAAACAAAAAACTGTATCCACATTGTAATAATCTTTTCTCTCTCTCCGCCCAGTGTCACATATATGTGGGTCTGATGACTGTCTGACTCATCAGCCTCAAACCAATAGGGACACATATCCATTCACACTGCAACATAAACAAAACAGAGATCTTGCATTGATAGCAGAGCAACACAAAGATGTCTCTAGCAAAATCTTGGAAAGACTTGCAAATTCCTCCACATCCCACAACGCTTTGTTTCATTGCTGTGCATCACCTCGTTGGCATGCCGACAAAGGGAATCCTCCAGTCCCTGCCAGTACAGAGCACCTCCGCAGACACACTGTCAGTAAAATAGAGGACACAAGGAACCAATAGCTTCTGGGCTTATTAAAATCAACATGTGGGCACTGCAATTCCAGTGTTTGGGACAGCTTTTCTAAATGTCCATGATTCTATTAAGTATCATTCTCATATCGTTGGTAAAAATTTAATTCAATTGTCATTTAAGAGAAATCTATTAAATGTTTTAAGTTTAAAAAATGTCCATTAAAATTAAAGCAATTTTTTTTTTCTGACAATTTACTCACCCTCAGGCTGTCCAAGATGTAGTCAAGTCAAGTCAAGTCACCTTTATTTATATAGCGCTTTATACAACACAGATTGTGTCAAATAGGGCTGGGTTTTAACACAAATTTCACTATTCGATTCGATTCTCATTCACAAGCTTGCAATTCGATTCGATTACCAATTCGATTCGATTCAATATAGATTATTTTGGATATATATCAGGTACAGTACATGCCAAATTTTCTCAAGGAAAAAAATCTAAACTAATGCTGTAAAATATATATGAGAGTCAGTTGGTACAACATTACTATAATATTGAAGGTTAAAATTAAAAGTTTTTACAATAATAAAGTTACAATTACATGTTGTTACATGTTCGTTTTTTAAAAATATAAACATTTAAATGGTGACTGTCATAAAAACTTGATGGATTTATTCAAACATAAATTAAACATTGAAGAACAGTAAAAATTATAATGAATATGTTATATGGTGCATATATTAAGCAAAACGCTTCTCTCTACAGTTTATTTTTCTATCCGACTAATGAGTTTATGGTCACCGAATATGTTTTTTTCTAAGGTAAATGTGACATTACCTATGTGACATATTGTTTACAAGCCGTTATGCGTGGCTGAAACACAGATTGAGCGATTACATGAGACAGGATACGGATTGTAAAGTTGTACTCTTTCTTTTAACTTACCTTCGTATGTTTAGTCATGTTTATTTTGATGATTAGTTCACCTGCGCCTCGTTCTGTTGAACTGAGGCGCTACAGCGATCTGTCACTCCACATTAGCTCACAGCGCCAAAATGGCATTTATTGTTTAAATAAAACAGGCTAGACCAATCGATTCTTGGGATTTAGGAATCGATATGTTTAGTACAAATGAGAATCGATTAATATCGAGATATCAATATTTATTACCCAGCCCTAGTATCAAAGCAGCTTTACAGTGTTCAACGGGGAAAACATGTGCTGTTAATGCAAGAGGACAATAGAAAACAGTCAGTTTATCAGTTAAAAGTCAGTTCATTGTTGATTCAGTAATGTCATCCTGCAGCTCAGTGAAAAACGGGAAAAACATGTGCTGTTAATGCAAGAGGACAATAGAAAACAGTAAGTTTATCAGTTAAAAGTCAGTTCATTGTTGATTCAGTAATGTCATCCTGCAGCTCAGTTCAGTTCTCTTTCAACAGTGTCTGTGCAGTAAAGTCAACAGAAATTGTTGCCAGAAATTGTGTCCCCAGCTAAGCAAGTCAACGGCGACAGTGGCAAGAAACCAAAACTCAATCAGTGACAGAAATGGAGAGAGAAAAAAACTTTTTTCATCATCGGAACAGATTTGGAGAAACTTAGCATTACATGACTTGCTCACCAATGGTGAATGGCAGTGAATGGGTGCCGTCAGACTGAGAGTCCAAACGGCTTATAAAAACATCACAGTAATCCGCGAGCAATCCACACAACTCCAGTCCATCAATTAACATCTTCTGAAGTAAAGAGCTGTGTGTTTGTATTAAACAAATTCATAAAGACGTTTTTAACTTCAAACCGTGGCTTCCAGCTAAAATACGAGTCCTCTATAATATTGCTTTCTCCAGTAAAAAAGTTGTCTCACCTGAATCAGGAGAGAAATATGCACAGAACAAGCATTGTTTATAAGCAAAAACAGTCCAAAATTAGTCCTAAACAAATGCCAGTGTATTTTGATGTGAGAGGACAACAGGAGATGGACTTTTTTACTGGAGGAAGTGTTATTGTGGATTATGGACTCGTTCACAGCAGATGATCCATTGGTGAGCAAGCGATGTAATGCAAAAGTTCTCCAAATCTGTTCTGATCTTGGATGGCCTGACGTTAAGTCAGTTTTCAGCAGATATTAATATTTGAACTATTCCTTTAATGTTATTATATTATGAAGCCTGTAGTTTAGCCTTCAGCCTTTAGTTTAACTGTGGCCCATCTATTACTCAATTACTCACCCTCATATCGTTCCAAACCTGTATGCACATGAGAAGATATTTTGAAGAATGTTGGTAGGAGACATCACAAGCTTCAACTAGCGCAAAAGTTATGTGAGAAATATGAAGTCATTGAGCATAATGACAGTCACTCACAAAATAAAGGCACGTCCAAACAATGCAGATGGCAACCAGACATATTTAATTACAGAATTGTGTTTCTCAGGCTTTGCAGATTGATTTACTATACATTTTTTTCAAACAATAGGAATTTTTTTCAATCAGGATCAGGCTGAAATTACATCCTGTCGGGACAAACAATAATTCGTTTAATTGCTTCTGCTCTTATGTGAAAAAAGCCAACACTTCCTCTCTTAACAGTTCCCCATTTTCAAACCCGTCAAACAACACTGATCCTCTTAAGATCTATGACAATCTCTATGGTCTTTTTTAGCTTAAAAAAACCCAAATATATCATGATGTGCCTAACAAGTTCATTACATGAGAATAACCAACCAAAACGGATTATAAATTCTGAGCAATCTCATTGTACAAAACACATTTCCCTTATATCATTAAGGTTAAAGCATCCAACTTAAAAGCAGTTTCCGTCTGCTGAAAGTATGAATATAAAAATACATAAGCATGTTAAACCGCAAAAATATGTAGTCAAGTAAAAGATTACACTCTTAGTGTGTGTCAAACTGTGCGTTTGGACATGCAAAGTTCATTAAGTGTCTTTTTAAAGTTTAAGTTCACCCAAAGATGAAAACGGTGTTATTTACCATGTTGTTCCAAACCTGTACGACTTTATTTCTTCTGTAGAACATAAAAGAAGACATTTTAAGAAATATTTCAGTGTTTCTTTTCAGTTTTCCATACGATGGAAGTCAAAACTAGTTAAAATATCATTAGTTTAAAATATCTTCTTTTACGATCTGCAGAAGAAAGGAAGTCATAGAAGGTTTGGAACTACACGAGGGTGAGTAAATTTTGGGGTGAACTATCCCTTTAAGAAGCAAGGCACATTAAGTACATTCCCTGCTATGCTCTACATAAAATTTACAGTTATAATATTCCCTTATTATTTCATGACAAATGGATAATCAATTACCTTTACAGGCAAGAATTTATAGGAAACCTACTGAAGTGGAGTTCCAATTGTTCATGAATTTGAATAAGGGATAAAATGTTCAACATTCAAACAAGAGCCCTTACATTTCATTATAATTTGCAAAACCCTCATGTTGAACCAGAGCCAATGCAAAAGTAACACTGTACACAACTCGTTTAAGACAAATTAAAATAACGGATCTGTATACAGTAATACAATTGTATACTTAATCACATGAATTAAAAACAAGACAGGATTTATCGAAAGTATGATGGAAATTATAGATTTTGAATAAATACTTTTTTCAGAAAATAAAAAATTTGAAATTATTAAAATACTACTACAACAACAACAACAAAAAACAGATTTCATTACTGTAGTTCAGAACAGTAATAATTAAGCAGTATGCAGTGTAAAACTGCGAAATTCACATATAGTGCATTATTTACCTCAGAAGACACCAGGAGCCCTTAAATCTCACCTCAGTGTTCAGTAGCAAATAATCTGCATTAATAAAATGGCACAACAGAAAGCTCACTGGATAAAGCTGTTCAGAGAAACATTAAAGAGATCATCTATTCATCCTTACCAGGTCACACAACATGGCACTGCATGCTTTAGATAAAAATAAAGATTCTAGAATATGCTTTGAAATATTTTTAAAGAATATATTCTGCTCTAATATTTTTTTTTCATTAAAATAAATGCAAACAAGCATGCTAAAACAAAAGTAAAAAAAAAAAAAAAAAAGATTGTAGTCAAAGGCAGCCAGCTGGTTGGGTGAGTTAATGACTCGAGAGGATGTGCTTGCGATCTGACCAGCGTAGGCACAGCGCTTTTTGGTGTTTATTCAACTTTGTGGTGGGAGCCGTTGTCTGGTGAATGTTTTGGTTTGTAGTTGGGATTCAAACACCGCCTCCGCTGCGGTCAACCGAGACAGGTCCTCTCAGATCCAACCCCTCCTCGGCCGTCTTCATCAGGATAGCCAGACGACTGTCAGAGATTTGGCCTCTCTGGACCGCACTCATGAGCTGAACCAATCAGAGAGCAAAACATATGCATAATCACTACCTAGCTTAATGGTTACAGCCACATTACTTTGTATGATTTAAGATTAAGAGGCGACTCTTAAGCTTAAATCATATCTCTTGCATTTATATTTTAAAATGCAATTTATTTCTATGGTGGTAAAGCTGAATTTTCATTAGACATTAGTCCTACTACAGTCTTTAGTGTCATATGGTCCTTTTAGAAATCATTCTAATATGCTGATTTGATGCTATTCTTTGATGAACAGAAAGTTCAAAAGAACAGTATTATATCTTTACTGTCACTTTTGATCAATTTTCTTTCTTTCAAAAAAAATAAATAAAAATGGGCCCAAACTTTTTCATTAAATGTAATCTTGATCCACTGCTTTGCTGTACTTACATGACTGGAACTAGCTGTCCAAAGACATTACCAATATGGCCTCAAGTGAGCGACCTGACCTAAACTGACTTTGGTTAAAGCCTGGGCTAGTAATTTAAAGGTTAGTGGTTCAAGCCCCAGAAACGTTATTACTTTTAACACCTTTCTCCTGACCCATATATGGTATATATCTAGTTCATGCTTCATTATAGTAAAAAGTACAGAAAAAGTGCTGCTCATTATTAATTAACCGAAACACCAGATCTACTTTATACTCATTCTGACGTAGGTATGACATTTCAGAGCGATTAATCACTGTGAACTAGTCAGCTTATGACAAAACATGGATATACTGACATGAAGATAACAAGCACTTTTAATTTAGAGGTTTTCACACCTACAACTACAAATCCTGCCTGAAAACCAGAGTGACACCAAGACAACCTGTAGCCTATAAATAGCTATTTTTACAGGTTCTAAGGGTTCATACCTGTAAGAACTCATCCAGTTCCACCTGTCCGTTTTTGTTGAGGTCCACCTCATTGAGGATCTCATGGAGGGCATTCTCATCAATTTGAATGCTGAGTTTCTGAAAGAACACAAATCAGCGACAGAATCAGTGTCTAAGAGACATTAGACTGAGGCTTGACGAAAATGTTAAGGACTGCATATAAACCAAAGACAATGAGAGCTGAGAGAATGACAGCTAATAAGCAATTCACGAAGGGAATTATTTAAATTTTATTCTTTGGTAATAAAGATAAACACAAACGCATACTTTAGTCTCGTGAAACTGCTGCCATCTGTTCTGCCCATCACTCACATTGAAAACAAATTGTGGTCAAACCATTTTTTAGCACCCCAGAATGCTTTCACCTATACAGTTGTATTTTTTTTTATATTTAAAACCATTTTTAAAGGGTTAGTTCACCCAAAAAAGAAAATTAGCCTGTGTTTTACTCACCCTCGTGGCATCCTAGGTGTACATGACTTTCTTCTTTCAGACGAATCCAGTTGGAGTTATATTAAAACTTGTCCTGGCTATTCCAAGCTCTATCGTTGCAGTCAGCGGGTGTTGCAGTTGAACAGTCCACAAGTCGTCAAATAAAGTGCGCACATCCATAATAAAACATGCCTCACACGGCTCCGGGGGGTGAATAAAGGCCTCCTGTAGTGAATCCATGCATTTTTGTAAGAAAAATATCCATATTTCAAAAGTAATAAACACTTTTCTCTCACTTCTGTTATCTGTCATACTGTTCCAGCGGATGACGCAGGGGTGTAACGATTCACTCGTTTTCTCGATGCATCGATTACAAACCCTGACGATGCAATGCGTCGATCTTGAAACATGGATTTTGAATTGTGAATCGTCGATTTCGGATTTTAATCGATTTAAAATGCTAAGAATCGAATGAATCGCGATTTCTATAGCGATTCAGTGTTTTCAAAATATATACACATTAAATTACTACAAGCACAAATTAATGGAGACCTTGAACAATGTTCGTGCCCTCGCATCTCTCCTTCACGTGCTCCACTATTTAATGCCTGTGACTGTCACAAGATTGCTCTCGTGCTCCGTTCGTCTCACTGACACATTTTTTGAGCAGCTGATGTGTGATCTCTCCTTAGTACTCGTGGCCAGTAATGCTAAAGTGAAGTAGTTTTGCTTTTCTGTAGTTTTTCAATGGCTTTCTGTCATACCGACGACATTACCTGAGTAGTCGAAGGCTGCGCATTTATTGCATGGACGGAACAAAAATGTAAGTGTCTAAAGTGTCGTTAATCTGAATGTACGAAGAAAACTGAAAATTTAAAATAACCACAGCATTAACAACAACCTTGAAATAAGAGCGCAAGGTTTGTCTGATAATCAGATGCATGAAAGTAGCGTTCATTGCTATAGCAAACAGACATCGGGGTCCTTTTCTTTCAGAATCATCATTCGCCGATGGAGAGGAAAAGTTCAATACTATAGCATTTTATTTTATGAAAATTAGATAAAGAAGTTTTCGCACTGAAAGAGAAGTGATCTCGCGTCCATAGAACTTAAGACGTGCCAGGCTATATTTGCAGCTAAACTGAATAAAAAGCAGAATGCACTGATGAAACGTTAAGACAGTAAACACAACAAATAAATACAATTTATGAATGATGCAGTGCTAATGGACATATCATTTATTACAGTACAGAAACTATAAAGTATATTTTCTACCTGATTCTGTGCAGAAAATTTGAATAATTGTTTGTAGTATATAAAACGATCATAAAATCGCCATTAGGAAAAAATTATAGATTACAAATGTTTGATTATTGTCCAGCAGTGTATTTAATTTCTTATAGCAAAGTCAAAGTAAGATATAAAAAAATAATTCCTTGTATTTGACATTTCTGTCACTTCTGAAATGATAGCTACACCCCTGGTGTGACGAAATGTTAGCCTATACATAATACTTTTAAAGCTCTTTTTTAAAATCTTGGCTTACATAAATTTCTACATATGCCATGTCATGCCATAGCATCATTAAACTAGCATCTAACAATGGACAAAAGTGTTTTTTTCTGTAACCTATTGTTCTCCAACCATAAAGGCTGCCGTGTAATTTGCCCCCTGACTAAGCATTTAAAGAATTTAGGGGAAGCATTTAAATAATCCTGTGAATGCACTTAAAGAATGCAGAATCGAACCGTTAATCGAATAAAATTTATTCGATTCGAAAACCTATGAATTGTGAATCGAATCGATTTGCTGTCTACCCAAAGATTCACAGCCCTAAGCAGGACTTATGCGCAGCGCGTGCGCCTCTGAGATATGCTAGTCTCGCCAGTTTGTTTATAGGAGCAAAGGAAGCAAAGTCTCCTTACTTTAGCAAAGGAAAAACAGTCTCCTCTTGGTTTATATCGAAATCCTCCGACATTTTTCTTCACAAATCCTCGGTTTATACTTCTAATTCGTGACCTGCGTTTTGTTTTGTTCTCTCTCCGCATTCGTCACTAATCACGCAATGCCGACGTACTACGTCATCCGTCGGAACAGCTTCCGCGTATGACAGATAACGGAAGTGAGAGAAAAGTGTTTATTAAGTTTGAAATATGGATATTTATCTTACAAAAACACATGGATTCGCTACAGGAGGCCTTTATTCACCCCCGGAGCCGTGTGAGGCACGTTTTATTATGGATGCGCGCGCTTTATTTGACGACTTGTGGACTGTTCAACTGCAACACCCGCTGACTGCAATGATAGAGCTTGGAATAGCCGGGACAATTTTTAATATAACTCGAACTGGATTCGTTTGAAAGAAGAACGTCATATACACCTAGGATGCCTCGAGGTTGAGTTAAACACAGGCTAATTTAAATTTTTGGGTGAACTGGCCCTTTAATATTATGATTGTCTGACAAATGACGATTGTTTTAAAGAATGTTGGTAACCAAACAGTTGACAGTAGCCACTGACTTCCATAGTATTCCCTATACCATAGACATTCTTCAAAATATCATATTTTGGGTTCAGCAGAAGAAAGAAGCTCATACAGGTTTGGAATAACATGAGAGTGAGTGAACAATGACAGCATTTTTGGGTGAACTTTAAGTACAGGTCATCTTGCAGTTTAATCGCGTACCTTGTGGCAATCCAAAAGTAATGAAAATGAATTAACATACATAAAAAGCCCCCTCATCTCTTTATATCAATGCCAACTTCGCCTAACCTGATGAATTACATGTAAGACATTTTACATGATGTTGTTAGTGCAAGAAATCTTAACTAACATTATGGACTCCAGGAAAAAGTAATGGCTGCTAAGAACAAATAGTATAACAGTATATTTTTGCAATCTAAAATATTAAGGAAGCTCAGTTGTAATTGTAAGAGACTGTAACTGTATGAGAGATTATAACACACCTCTAGCACTTGCTGGACATCCACTGTTGTGATAAAGCCTCTACTCTCCTTATCAAATTTGTAAAAGCGCTTCTTATACCTGTCAATCATAATAATGACAATATTAGAAGAGTCAGAGCTATAGGATCTTGTATACACTTAAACTCACACACTCATCCTATACCTCGCTATCTCTTGGGCAGTGAGTGAGATCTCTGTTGTCTTGCTGAGCTGCTCAGAGCGAGCTTTATAACCCATCTCCAGGTGCAGGAACTTCTTTGCTGCCTCCAGCTCTTCCTACAGACACAAAAAAACAAAAACAGACTGAGTAACTTTCCAAAGGTTAGAAACAAGTGAATAAAATGTATTTTTGATCAAATATTTTTTTTTTCTGATCATAACAGCAGCACATTTCAGCACAGATTATTTTGTAAACCTATTACAGTATAATGCATGCTTTGCAAATTGGGTGTTACTGAAGGATGGGCAAGTTAAAAGATATATTGGACCCAACAGTTTGTGTAAAAGTGTTGTTTCACATTTCTTGTATGAAGAAGGCATTTACATAGAAGTCTTCATGGCACAGTAGGGCTATTAAAATGGCTGAAAAACTAAATTCGAATTTTGTACTTAAATATTATCAATATTCTAATTATATTCGGATTTAAAAGGCATAATTTCAGTTAGGGGAGAAAAAGCTTTTGGCTTCTCTCCTGAGGCCAAAAGGGGGCGCATCGAACAAAATATTATTACGTTTCTTCAAAGCATAATAAAATAACACGATTATCTTTGAAAAAAGTGCACAATGTTTAAAATAAGGTTTATAAACCTTATATAATTAAAATTGCTTAAACAATTAGAAACAAAACAGAATCACGCATGTATGTATAGTTTAATACAAAGGACTGAAAACCAAATCACAAAGAGTACATTCTTCATTTAAAAACATGAGATGCAGTGGGACGGGGAAACCCCGCCATAAAGTCTTGAAACATGTTTTTAAAAAGTTGAACTTACACAATAATTTTACATAGCTTTCTAAACATGTGGCTCTCTTGTGCGAGACGCGAGTGCAACAGTGATAGATGTCCCTCTAGAAAATTTTATAAATATGCGTTCTGTGTGAACGGTTTGGTTTCGGTTTTGACGTAAACAACATCATCTCCGCATTGATGTTCTATTTTCCCGCAATATTTTAAATGATCAACGTAGCAGCGCCGCATCTAGTGGGTTCAACTGGATAGACTAACAAAAACATTATAATGCAACGACACTTACATCGTCATCGCATTTCGTGCGCCACTGATAAGGCTACCTGACGCACACGCACACCTAAAATTCGAATGCAACGTTTTTGCATCCGAATGTGGATTTTTATTTTAAATTCGACGAATATTCGAAATTCGAAAAAAAATTTGACAGCCCTATGGCACAGAAATAAATATATAAATAAATACTGGTCAGATAGATGGTGAAATATGGTCAAATAAAGATAAATTACAGGTATTTTATCCTGAAGAAAAAAACTTTATTTTCTTTTTTCTAATTCTTCTAACTAGGCTGCCACATATATTCACATTCAACTGTAAAAAAAAGAATTTGTATCAAATTGATGTTTTTCGTTTTTTTTTTTAAGGCATTTACAAAAAAGTCCTCAAGCAATAAATAAATAAAACGATCTAATTTTAAGGGTCAGATAGAAGGTGAAATACGGTCATATAAAAGTAAACTACAGGATTTATTTCCTGAAAAGCCAACCCTTTTAAAAAAAATATATATACTGTATATATTTTTTTTTCTATGTTTTACTCAGCATTCTGCCAAATGCCTCATTATAAGTCTAAATATTTTAAACTGTAAAATATGGGTTTGTGTTGTTTCATTTCATGTCTGAAGAAGGCATTTACATAGAAGACTTAAAGGCACAGCAATAAAATACATTATTTGATTGATTGATTAATTAATTAATTAATTAAAATAAATGTAATTTTAAAGGTCAGATAGAATGTGAAATACAGTCATATAAAAGTAAATTATGTTTTTTTCCCCTCAGGGGGTTATTTATGTATTTATTTATTTTCCATTTCTACTCAACAGACTGATAAAAAGCTAATTAAACTAAATATTTTCAACATTTTTCTTTTTAAGTTGTAAATAAAGCAAAGATCATTGGAGCATGTTTTATTAGAAAATACCAGTAATAGCTACCAGTGGATACTGATATATATATATATATTTTCACATTAGAATGAGAGTGTTTGAGGCAGTAAAAAGGATTCAAATTCAGCCAAAGTTCAAAAGGTGTTTCATGCAGCTGAAATACAGCAACATGAGAATTCTGGCTTGCCTTGCAGAGAGCTGTGATATACCTGCACTGGATCAAGGCTCCCAGCAGAGCATTGTGTCTGTGTCCGTGCATGTGTGTGGTGGGTGTGGTGCACCTGCATTGTGAGCAGATCTGAGTTCTCAACTCATGGGAACTGAACAGTATCAAAGCTGCACAGTGATATGTGCTATTATTAGTGCTTCTGTTTATCAGACAGGAAACCAACAACCAACGTGCAAAAGCTGGAGTAACTCTATCACCCTCTTACAAACGCACTACACACACACTTTCAAACACTCGTGCGCGCACAGACGTAATAGCCATAGTCATCAAGAGGTGTTGTGCTGGGCGTTCATTGCACAATTGAATTGTGATCTTATCCTGAAGTGGAGACTCCTTGTTAAAAAAACTATTTAAGAGAGTCACACTAACAATAGCTGAGGCCTATTATTAGCTGTTACCTAAATTAACCTCACTGAGACCTTTAGCTTTAGATCAGTCAAAAATAGCCGTGTTCAGGTAAAGGGTAGCAGGTTTGCACAATCAATAAATTCAATAAATCAAGTATTGCCAACAAAATGTTTGAATACATTTGAATTGTGATTTGAATTAATATGTATACTAAATGTGAATTTAAAGTGTATTCTGCTTTCATTTTAATTAAATAATCACATGCATATGCACACGCACACAACACACAACACACAACACTGTCAGTCCGTATTCTAAAGTACTGTAATATGTAAATCTTCCTCCGTAGGTTGCTGCCAGGTGCTGAGCAACCTGTGGGTTCAGAAAATAAAAATGTTATTCCTTACGGCTGTAACCATTATTAAATAGATGATTTAACATGATTTAAATTTCTTTCCTTATACAGGAAACCCACTGTAACCAAAGCTAGATTTTAAACATTCGCTTAGGCTGTAGAGATGCTTTCTTTACTAGCTTATGAATAGTTCAGGCAAATAAAACGGCCCCGTTTACTTTGCTCTTCTTTTATATCTCTCACCAAAGGTCAAGTGCTGTCAAAAATATCTGCATGCTGACCTTTTTAACTATGCTGGCAAAACAACATCCATGGTAGCGCTACGGCTCCATCAAGCTCTCACGCTTCCAAACAAGGGTTTGCCAGACTTTCTCTCCCCCACAGAATCATGGGGGACTGAAGCGTTATGGAGCAGCTGAACCTGCTCCAAAGAGCTCTGACTGGCAGAATTCTAAGTAGTTGGGCTTCAAAACCCACCTCGTTTTCCAAGCCGTAGTCTTGAACCAAACGAATGTACAGGGTGGGGGTCCAGTCCTTCCCACCATCCAGCATCAGACCGACAGTCCTGCTGGGACCAGCTGAGAGCTTATGAGCCTTTATGGCTGCGTCAAGGGTCTCCTCAGCCATAGAACGATAGGTTGTCCACTTCCCACCTACAGAAGACAGAGTGCTGTGAAACCTTTAAACATCCTTAGTGTAACAATTATCAGTAACCCAATTCCTCATTTAAAAGGAAAAAAAACTGTGTATATGATTGTATTTTTAAGTAAGATTTAATGTTTTCATATTTTTTACTTATTTTGTTTTATTATAATTTTTGTCTTTAATTATTAATATAATTTTTAAAAAATTATAATTATATGTTTATAAGTTAATAAGTTAATAATTACCGGGTTAGTATGATTTTTTGATGTTGTTTTTTTAAGAAATGAATATTCTTATTAAGCAAGGATGCATTAAGGGACGCAAAAATACTACATTAAATAAACACTGTGCTTTGAACGTTTAATATTAATATATACGTTTAATGAATGAACACAAAAATATTAAGCAGAACAATTGTTTTCAACATTGATAATAAGAAGCCGGGCTGCACAATAAGGCCAAAAAATTTGCTTTCATATATATTATATCTCAATCAATATGACTACAATATAAGAATTATAATTATTATTATGATTATTATTACTACAAATGTAATTATTATTATTTATTTTTTTTTACAATAATTACAAACTTTTTCACACTGTACAAATCCAATTAAACCACTTAACGAAAGAAAAAAAAAAATGGCACTGACCAGCAATGGTGACGAGTCCGCTGTCGCTGATGTTGATGATGTGGTTACGACAGATGGACTGTGTGTTTTTGGAGTTGGGGTCGGTGACCAGCGGACGAATACCACTCCAGGCCGCCAGGACATCCCCTCGCCGCACTGAGAACCAAAGAAACCAGAGACGCTGACAATCTCTGACAGCTGAAGTGTGTGTGTGTCGAGTATCTGATTGACAGGACTACAATAGGCTACACTATTGTATTTATGCAGTCAGTGTCCTGTCTACAGTTACACCCACAACTGTTTATATATGAAAATGACAGTGATGTCTGCATTAAAAGCTATTTTGTTTGGCAAATGACCATAGGGAAACATGGGACGCGAGACTGTCCATAAAAACTGGAATTGCTTTATTACTTTGTTAAACCAACAAACTGTTACTAGAACATCATGTACGATTCCAGAGTCAATTTCCCTATTGTGGTGACATCTCAAACATTAATTATTAAGAGGGAGTTGTGTATCGATCTGCGGTACACATGCCACTGTAATATGCAGGTTGATATTTCTGAATGGGGGGGAAAACAGAGACAGCACTCTCATTATCAAAGGGCATCTCTGAAACATTTATGACAAGGCTAGGGAGCTCAGCAGACAGCAGACTGGGGAGACCGATAACACACACACACACACACACACCTTGAGTCTAAATGAACCTCAGCAATAGACCGCTGGGCTGTCGAATGCATTCAAGTAATCAAATTCTCAAGGGAAGTATTCAGTCCATTTCCAAGCTGTAGAACGCACTCGAAGTTCTCAAAGAATCACAATCACCATACCGAGGCATTCGCAATATATCCGCAACCATATCAGTATAGGCCAATTTTTTAAACTACCGTCATTGGTTAATTAGGCTGAGAATGGAAGATAATAATTTTTATTTTTGCATAAAAATATTTCTTTCTTCATTCATGTCTGATGATCAATATACATGAGGAGAGGTCCCAGTGATTTTTCGGTGTGGGTGGGGCTTCCCACCTTACGAATCAATATTAAAGTTAATTAAATTAAGCTAAGCGACTGACTAAATGTAATATAGTTCATCGCAGCTGCTCAGGACAAAAACTCTGACATGAATGAGATACCCTTCAGCACTTACCAATTTATATATATATATATATATATATATATATATATGGATATTTGCAGGAAAGATTTTATAGATTTTAACATTCTGTGAATTTCCTGGGACAGCTATGGAAGAATTTGAGATAAAAATATTTAAAAGTAAAAATAAATAAATAAATAAACAGGTGTGCAAATCATATCTCTTTCCATTCAATATACTGTACACACATTTAAGAATAGTCTGTTGGTATCTTTCGAGGGAGTTTTTTTTTCCACTGTCGCCTTCAGCTTGCACACTATGACTCATTTCCTGTAAAGCTGCTTTGAATAACATTTATCAACAAACGTCTATGCAAATAAATTTAAACTGAACTGAAAACATAGCACACTTTAAATAATGGGCTGAAAAATGATGCTATTCACTTGTTACGAAAAAATATATATTTTCAGATATTTTAGTCTTTTTGTTTTATATTTATAGTATAATGACAAATAAAAAACAACTATTTAATTTATGAAATAACATATTGTCTTTGTACGCATACACACATGAGAATATGCAGCTGGCTTTACATTTCAGTGGCATTATTTAGATAACAATTCACTGATACCAACTATTGTTCTTTCTTTTTATAGGACAATATAATGAATTTTAATGCATGATTTCACTTTTTAAAATTCTAGATTGGAGCTTTAGTGTGAGTGTTTAAATGTTACAATTTTATAGAGTTACAGTATATCAGCCATTATATCAGTAATCAATAACATCAAACAATTATTAAAAATCAACAAAAAAAAATCTATATTGGCATTTCATCCCTCCTTTAAACAGGTGATTGATCAAATTAGGACCAATGTAAAAACATTCTGAATGAGAAAAAAATAAGAAAGTCCAGATTTTTCAAATCTCTCTGTTCATCTCATGCAATCATCCTTCTTTCTCTCTCACACAATATCTCTACTTGAGGGACAAACAACAAGATCTTGCCCCTACATTGTCATTGTGACAAATCTCCCACAGCCAAATCCCTTTAGCTGCCTTCACTAGAGCCGAGTCCAGTCTAGCCTCAACCCTCCATCTAGGCAAGGTCTCGGTGTCATTCCTCCGTCACTCAATCCATCCTCATTCTCCATGATCTGCGTTATTCACACTCTCATACAGCCCTCCCAGGTCAACAGAGTCGTTTGGTTGCTCATTCATGCCCGGAACAAAGCAGAAGACACCCAGACACACGGCAGCCGTCACATTGTGGTTTATGTTAATAATAGACAGCTGGATGACTTTCTACAGAAAGACACATGCAGCGTTGAATGAGATAACGAGATTCAATAAACTCTTAACGACTTGCCCAACAATCAGAGAAAGAAGGAAGCATTTTTTGTGAGGAAAAATTAGTTATGAAGCTAATCAATCAAGCAATCAAGCCCGCATACACGGTGCTTTGAACAATTAGAGGGCTGCGCTCAAAATTCAATACCTCCGCTTGGAATAGGAAGATGCTTGGAATAGTTATCAGTCCCAACTAGCAGTTACTAGACTCAACACAACCAATACAAGCCATTTTGTCTACAGTGCTGTCTGTTTGTTCATTAACATGCATGCAGTATGTAGAGGCCTCTTCAGATTTTTTAGTCCAGTGGATTTTTTATGCAACTTACAAAATAGTTCTTTGCATCTTTCATATTTAAGTTGCACTATTGAGTAAATGTTTGTCTAAAACACTGTGGCCGAAACCAACCATTCATACCATTCTAAAGTTTAAGGTCAGTAACATTTTTTGTGACAGTAAAGACTTTTACATTGTTACGCAAAAATTGTATTCTAAATAAATGCTGTTCTTTTGAACTTTCTATTCATGAAAGAATTATGAAAAATGCATCATGTTTTTTTTTTACAAAAATATCAAGCAGCATCACTGTTTTCAACACTGATAATAATAAGAAATGTTTTTTATCACTAATTTAGCATATTAGAATGATTTCTGAAGGACCATGTGACATTGAAAACTGGAGTAATGGCTGCTGAAAATTCAGCTTTGCCATCATGGCAATAATTTATATTATAAAATATATTAAAATGCATGAAATACATAAAATGGTTATTTTCAATTGTAATAATATTTTACAATATTAAAGATTTTACATTTATTTTATTATATCAAATAAATGCAGCACTGGTCATCATAAGAGACTTCTTTCAAAAACATTAAAAAAAACTTTTTTTTTTTTAAACCAAGGCATACTGTATATAAATTTGGTCGGTTCAGTTGAGTCACACTTTATGCAAACTCTTTACTTAAAAAAAATCTTAATCTAGCCATCTTCATTTTGAGAAAAACAGGTATGACTTTTCCCCATTAAACAAAAAATGTATTATTAAAATGTCAATGCTCTTTTCCATACAAAAAATTAAAAAAAAATTGATTACCATTAACTGTTCCTGCACATATGTTCTTCTGCCATTGTGAACAGAACAGTAATACAGTACTCTGGAAGCATTTCCTGCGTTTCCTGCTTCTCTATTAAGTGGCACCACAACAGCGCTACTGAATCTACTGTACAGCAAGAACCAGGAGCGTCAGACAGGGGTAATGGTGAAACAGAGTTATAACCAAGAGTCAACCAAGGGGGATCCCAGAATCCCTAGTGACACCACAGGAAAGAACTATACAGTGCAACCAGTGTAATTCAAACAACTCCTGAATGAAGGAATGAGTCCTATTGAAAACAATACACCGCAACCAGTATAATAGAGACTTAATGGCAATTATTTCCACCTCTAATGGTAATACAGGCACATTATGTTATAAATAACATTCAGTTTCTTGCACAGACCGATTGTTTTGCTTCATAAGATCGCAATATATTGCTAGAAGTCACGGGTATTAATTCTGTGTTGCCTGATATGCTTTTTTGACTCTCAAAGTGACGGTAGCTGTTGACTTGCATTTTATGAATCACCCAGCCTTGGTAAGCATAAGAGACTTCTTTCAAAAACATTAAAAGATCTTTCAAGTTCTAAAAGAATTAATGGAACTGAAATCATTAAGAAGAATCTGTCTTTAAAAAAAGATCTTATTTCGCCTAGGGCACCAAGTGAACCAGGACTCTAGGGGTGTAGAATCAACGTGCACTATTGCTTTTTAAAAAAGATTTTCAGTTTTCCCGTTGCTCAAAGTGTAGCAACATATAACATTCAAAAACCATTCAAAAGAAAACGCATGGATGTGGTAATATTACCTTCTACGTCAGGGCTGAGGTAATTTCGTACTTCGCTCAGGATAAAGTTGATGTCATCTTCCACAGGGATTGGATGGGCGGTGACTTCAGTGGGTGTATCTGTCGTGCCGGCGATAGTCATCTTCTCCCAGGGCAGGAAGAATATGACACGGCCATCACTGGTGGCAGGGTCTAACAGCCCCATGTTGTCTGGGCTATAATTGGTAGGAAGAGTACAGATGTATGTAATCTCTCTATGCACTGTTAAAACCATAAAATTACACTTGAGGAAAAAAAGGTACAATATGATTGCAGGATTCAGGTAAGTACCTGTAATATCCAGGGATTACAATGTGCACTCCTGCACTAGGCTGGCAGATGTTGGCAGTTTTCTGGCTGTCCATTTTGCGCAGTGAGTCAGTGAAGGGGCCGGTAGCGTTAATGACACATTTGGCACGAATGTCAAACTCCTGCCCTGTGAACGGCAGTGTGAGGTGTTAGACTAACTCAACGCAGCTGACTGGGGTTATTTGCTGAGGATGGAAGACAAATCTCTTCATAAAAGGATTCTAAGCAGAAAATTTAAAGGGCTTACTGAAAGGTGATTAGTTGCTGGGTTGTGGGGAAATGAAACTTTAAAAGAAAGCAAAGATTCAAGAAATAGTCTTTACATAGACTTTATATTAAGATCTCATCTCATGTCTTAAGGTGCAGTCACATTTACCATTGTTCTGCAAATTTTTGTTCGCAAAATCTGGTTATTTCAATGGAAATCCACGCAATCAGAATTTCGTACAAGGGCGAAAGATTTCCATGCATACATTTCACAATTTAAGTTGATCACACAGATCCACTGCGTTGACCAACAGAAAGCTGCGTACTTCTGTGTAAGCTGTCATTTCATAAGCGAAATAACTAAAACAGTTAATTTAGTTTTCGGTCTGGGCATATCTCACCTGTGATTATGTCTCGGCAGTGGGCTCCACAAACTTTCTCTTGGCCTGTTTTTGGGTCTGGTTTCTTTAGCAGATGAACCACCTCTGTGTAGTTGGCAATAGCAGCACCATGGCGGGCCGCTGTAAGAGTGATGGCCAGGTTCATCCGGGCATCATTGTGTTGTCCTGAAAAGAGTCGGAGCAGAATGTGTCACAATACTCATATACAAAAAAACAAACATTGTTCATAAATGAGACGTACCGTAGAAATATTTGTAAATAAAGCTATGTATAAGTGCTTGCTTTTTTTTTGTGCATTTTTAGAATACAACAAAAAAAACATTTACAGTGTATTATGTAAACCACATAATAAACCACATTCCCCACAGAACTAGAATCTCTAAAAATGTTTTTGTTAGAATTAATTAACCTCTTAACTTTAGCTAATTTTTTTTCTTCTTGAAACTATACAGTAGCTTCACTCACACACACACACACACACACACAAACACATGTTAGTATTGGTGGTTTACGGGAACTCTCCATAGGTGTTATGGTTTTTATACTGTACAAACTTTATTTTCTATCACCCTACACCTAAACCTACCCCTCACAGGAAATGTGTGCAGTTTTAGATAAAAAAAACACACCACTTAGTATGTTTTTTAAGCCTTTTGAATTACGGGGACACAGGTAGTGTCCTCATAAACCACTTTCATATTGTAATACCTGTGTCATACCCATGTCATTATACACATTTTTTTGTCCTCATAAACCACCCAAACCAGTGCGCGCGCACACACACACACACACACACACACACAGTCATACATATAAACAGGGACATTCTATAGACTTCTATTTTTTATATACAGTTAAAAATACAGTAATCTAACCTTTACAGAAAACTTTCTGCATTTTTACCTTTTTTTTTTTTTTTTTTATTTTTTTTTATATATAGTTTTTAAAAATTATTTTTTTTTTTTACTTTTTTTTATATATAGTTTTTAAAAATTAAGACATTTCTAAAAGAAGGTTTTTGGGAGGTTTGCGTCAGATTTAGTTTACCTCTTGGTACAAATTCATACCCAAAACATGGTTAAGTAGGTACAAAATGTTTTTCTGTACTTGCCAGAGGCCACTGCACCCAGTTAAGATTCGCTTTATGATTGCAGTGTTTGAAGTGGTATGACGGTGTTCAATATTGTTATAGGGCCTTTTGAGGCATTTAAACTATTTCAGACACATTTGAAACATGAATTACAGGAAACCTTGAAGCCAACGCGATATCACTCTATTACGGCAACTAAAGAGCCACTAGATTTTTAAAAAAAGCCTCTGTGTTCTGGGTCTGTGTTCTCGATGCTAAAGAACCAGAGGGATAGGTAACCCACGTAAGCATGTCTAATGCTAACACATGCTCAGGGCAACTCTACCAGACAATGAAATAATAACACAGGCAGGAAGCCTGTTTAAAGGGCACACTTCTCAAAGAATAATGTGCAGTGAAGGCACCAGCATGCTTTGTTAGAGATCCCATGAACCTGGGTTTGCCTCAGTGCTCATAGCTCTGCGCTCAAATCATGATACAGGGAAAATATCCATGTAAAGAAGGATAATACACACATATGCATGTTGGAATATTGTTAATATCATGTAAGAGGACAAATCACAGCTCACACGGAAAGCTGTGTCCCACAGCAGTAGACAAGAAACGCTTGGCTGAGCTTGAATGTTTATTAGAGTACAGCTCGCAGGTATGGTGAAAAGAGCAGGGCTTTTGTGCTGCAAGCGGGATTCTAATGAAATAAAGAAACCGCGACATTACAAATGACTGAAAACGCAGATAAGGGAGTTTTAGCGTCAGATTAGATTAATAAAAAAAGACCTACAGAAAGAATGAATGACATATCATAGTGGAGGAGGGATGTGATGGGAGGCCGTGCATGTGGATGAGATAGTGAAAGAAAGAAAGGGAGAGAGGACTCAAGGAGGATGAGGGACAGGAAGAGAAGAAGCGAGAGAGTGCGAGTAGAGGAAAAAGAGAGAGAGAGGGAGAGAAATAGAGGGAGGCAAATAGCGACAGGCAGGCTGCGATCTCCAGCGGAGAAGGTCAGATTCGGAAATGTCACGGCCGTGATTGTTCCAGATTGAATAATTGGAGAGAAAAGCCGGCTGACAACCCAGGGGAAGAAGGGATGGGGGGTTGGGGGGGGACAGACGTGGGGAGAAGAACGAATAAAACCTCTAAACTGTCATTACAATCGCCGGTTTCGATTCTCCACACACATACATACGCAAATGAAGACGCTATTTAACGCAGTCACTGGCAGCACGTAAACATGGTACGGCAGGGAACAGAGCATCCAGACGTCTCTTTGCCTCTGTTTCTCCCACAGATGGACGCGATGTGACAGATCGCTGCTCAGATAGCCGCCGCGCTCCCCCTGAATATAAGCTGCCCGGGCGCCCTGCGAGGGACCATGTGTGTCAACGCAGGCCAAATGTAGTTTGACAGGAAGCACCGGAAGGCAGGATTGGTGGGCGGGGTTTGTGCTGCCACGGATGGGACCTTGAATAAAGGGGACACATTCTGCACACCCAGACTAACCAGGAACATATGGAAGTTTTGCCTGGTGGCAGCCTCGGGCGGCGCAGGGCGCAGACAGGCCAACAGAGACACGAGCACAATGAGTTCGGCCGCAACAGCCGGTGACGGTTTTACAAAGATTATGGAGGAATGTCACAGAGACAAATGAGATGGCAGTTATTGCCACATAAAACCGCAAATGAAAATAGTTATGATATTTTCATGATAACAAATCTTGGACTGACATACAAGATTTTTTTCTTATTTAAAGAAAAATAATATCTCTGTCCCTTTTCTCCCTATCACAGGCTTGGCAAAGGCATTTTGCTGGTTAGCCTATATAAGTAACCAGGTAAGGTTGGTTTAGGCTTTTTTTAAGCAGGGTGTATTACTAAATAAAATAGATATATTCTCCATGAGCAGAACTGGATTTGTCCAAGTGCCACTAAGTCATATAGCACCTTGTGACATGTTTGTTTTAAGTTTTTTTAAAAATCGGACAGGCAAATGATGTAATCTTGAGGTTTCTCATTTCTGTGACCCTTTCACACTTCACCGGTTGCTTTAAATATCAGAGCAAGGCATAAATGCCACGAGTAATTAATAATGATGATGGTAAAGACAGGAAGATCCTTTAAAAACCCAGAATGACAAGGGGCAGAGACTGAGGAGACGAGAGGTCCAGCATTGATCCACAGAATATCCGAACCCCACCTGCTGCAGGGGTCCATATGAAAGGTGCAATGCCATTTCTGTGAACTTACCAATGGATTTAAATACAAAACCTGTCTTTTATGAATCTAGTATGTCTCTGGTCTCTTTAACTTTGTTCTGTCTAAACCCCATATTTCCATTCCTTTTTTATATATTTTTTCCCTTTCATAGATCAGTGTTTTTATTGTCGGACGTGTAAATTAGTCAACAGAGTAGTAGTAAGTAGTAATTAGATAAAACTGGTTTTCTTACTTGTAAACAGGAAGCATTATAGGTAAAGGTGCAGACAGGTGAGGAGCGATGTTCAGCAGATTGGCACGTTCATGAAGGGCCTCTTTCACCATCATGTACTAAGCAAGTAGAAATAAATCTGTTAAGCATGTAATTTATGTTCTGAAACAAAACATGAAAATGTCTTCAATCAATGTTAACCACAGAGGTCAATTTACTCATAAATTTAAAAAAACAACAACTCTACTCTAAAAACCCATAGAAAATTCAAGTCTTTGAATTATCTTCATTTGGGGGCTTTTGACAGCAAATACCGATATGTGACCCTGAACCACAAAACCAGTCTTAAGTCGCTGGGGTGTATTTGTAGCAATAGCCAAAAATACATTTTATGGGTCAAAATGATTGATTTTTTTTTTATGCCAAAAATCATTAGGATATTAAGTAAAGATCATGTTCCATGAAGATATTTTGTAAATTTCCTACTGTAAATATATCAAAACGTAATTTTTCATTAGTAATATGCATTACTAAGAACTTCATTTGGACAACTTTAAAGGCGATTCTCTCAATATTTTGATTTTTTTCACCCTCAGATTCCAGATTTTCAAATAGTTGTATCTCGGCCAAATATTGTCCTATCCTAACTAACCATACATCAATAAAAAAAATATTTATTCAGCTTTCAGATGATGCATAAATCTCAATTTTGAAAAATTGACCCTTATGACTGGTTTTGTGGTCAAGGGTCACATATATGCAATTAATATAAATATGATCCTATATTTTACTGTCATTTTATTCCCAATTAAATACTTAATCATATTTTAAATATGCATTTTTAAAATGACATTAAGTTGGCCAACAACCAATCTTGACTGCAGTCGTTTTGAGTTCAAGATTTTAGAGTGCTGCTATTTCCGATTATAATTTACAGTATCGTTTTTGTCTTTACTTATTGAAACAGTTGATGATCAAGCTACTGTAAGTTTTGGCTATTCAACCTCCGCACTGATGCCTCAGATCTGCAGTATCCTACTAAATGTTTGTGCTTTTCTTTGTCTGTCTGATGTGTTCAAAATGTCACAGTGGTGGCATAAGCGGCCTTGCAATCCTTCTTCTAAATATTAGGGGCAAATAGGGAAAAATGGGGCCTTCACCTGCTCATAATCTAGTTTCATGATGGCTTTCTGCAGATAGCGGACTCCGCCGTGAATGAGCTTGGTGCTTCTGCTGCTGGTGCCTGATGAAAAATCGCTCCGTTCTACCAGGGCGGTCTTCAGATCTTGTACGAGGGGGCAGAAAGACAGGTAAGGAACGGATTAGACAATGCACTGGCATTTCAAGACCTTATGGTGCCAAATATTTAGACTGGAGCTGCTGTCATTTACATATGGCTTTCTCCACTATCTGTAATATCACAACATGTTTATTGCACCCAGGCACATTCTGCCATGGCCTTCAGAGATGAATACAACGTCTAATGAGAATAAAAAGAAAGAAAATTAAAAACAAACTAAATGAACACTAAAAAATGTACGAGACAAATCAAAACTGACCTGCACAATAATATCAATAAATATCACAAAACTTAAAAAGTACATACTCCGCGTGACAGCGTCTAAAGCACATCCGGAGCCCGTGGCTCCGCCGCCCACAACCAAAACATCAAACTCTTCTGTGTTTCGCAGTGTTGAAAGCTGCTCCTCTCTTGTTGGGAGAGCATCTTTAAACGGCACCTTTAGCTCACCCTGCGCTTCAACATATGCCAGCCGAGCCTGAACAAATCCAGCAGGTACACAAAACAGAAAAAAGGACCAAAATAAGAAGACAATGTGGTTAAAGACATTACAATACCCTGCATGCTCTTTAAAGACGCAATCCAGAATTGACATTTCATAAGCATTACTGTGCAATTGCATGTAAAATCACAATTCTAAGATGCCCTATATTGTTATGCAAGTTGTCATTGCTAAATCGACATCCAAACATAAGGATTTTTCTGGAATGATCTTTAAATTATTAATAGTATTAATAATAGATTAATTTAGATGAATTAAATAAGACAAGTAAACATGTCTAGAAAATTACTAGAGAAACACTGAACATGCACTTTTCATATTAATCACTCCACATCAAAATGACATTGAATATATTTCATGAAACATTATGTTAGTCAGCATGCCAAGACATAAGAATTAAGCAGAATGCATAATTGTTCATCTCAAATGTTGGGTTATCAAAGTTCTAATTCAGTAAGTTCTAGATTTAATTTCAAGGGGGTTAAACTAAAAAAAAAATAATAATAAAAATTTGCAATCATGACACGGTCACTCTTTATGGCAACTTGCACTGTGACCTTTCATATTATATGTGTGATATTTTATACATAAGCTTGATTTCACTTTAGGTATTTAAACTCCCCAAATCAACTGTGCTTTTCAATAAATCCTCTTATCAATTAACAGCGAATCTAAAGTTTATTATAAAGTCAAACAGAGAGACTGACAGTTTGAAATTGTGAATGAACAGCTGCCAATCTATCGGTCACATGAAGGCAAAAAGGCGCAAAATTCTAATTAAGAGAAAACAAGCCTGGGCGAAGCTAGGTGTCAAGGGTTTTAGCCATAATGAAACATTTTATTCATTTTTTTCGTTAGCATTTGGCCTAAATGATTACATCAATCTGCCCCCAAAAGCCCGTAGAGTCCATTTGACTTGCAAATGACCAAATGAGCCCAGACATTTGCAATTTAGACAGTAATAGCATGTAAAAACAAGATTCAGTAATTAGTGTCTATTTCTAAGGACAGACATATTTAAAACATCCGCACACTATTAAGAGAGGCTGTCCTGCAATCAGGACAAGTGCATGACGGAAACGGAGAATTTCATGCAAATATGCAATCGGCCACCGCAGAGTGATACTTCAGCCAGAGTGTAACAGTGCCCTTGCCATAGAGGAGACAAACAGGCACTCACAAACACACACACACACACACACGCTCACCAAATTAACATTACAATCTCAAAGATTAGCATCTGCCACATGCATGATTGCAAGCAATGAAGAAATTCATTCTTTTCTCTTTTGACTTTTGCTTACCCATTTAGGCTGCATTGAGATGACATGAGGGATAAATAAACACATAAATGGAGAAACATCAGAACAAAAGTTTGTGTCAGTGAAACGCTTAACATGGGATGCAAATGTGACGTGAAGGTGATCTGATTTACTGCTGCAGTACATCCAATGAAGTTTTGCAGAGTGTTCATATTGGTAACAAAATCTCTTTAAATTTGAAGACGGTTAGAAAAAAATGTTCAAACTCAAGATCATCTTTAAGTTTTTTTTTGACAAATTAATCATGTCGTGACAATCTCCATGACAACCATGTCCTTGAGAGTGCCTAATTCTCTCGCTCCCTGGAGTTTCATTGGGATTGGAACAGTTGAGATGCAAGATAATGGACAAATTGGGCTTGGGTAAGATTTAAATAAATGATGAGAGAGAAAATCAGGACTCCCATTGCTCTTCAAGGGTCTGTCTTTTTTTCTTCTTCATTTGTTTCAGAAAGCCTTGTTGATTATCTTAATCTACTTGACCTTCCGTTATTTGATATAGCATCTAAACAGACGAGACCCCTGGGGATCTTACTAGTTTAAATACGGACAGAACATGGTGTGTGACACACTCCCTGATGGCGTGAATGAGGATCAGATTGTTCTTGATTACATATTCAAGAAAGATCCTTGACACAATGTGTGTATCACTGTTCAAGTGTAATCTCCCTTTAGCAAACAAAACCTCATTTTAATACGGTAGTCTACCCTAGAGAGAGAACGGGGTAAGTTTGGAGACTTGAGATAGTACCCGAAAGGTACAAATGAGATTTGCTAATGTATCTGGATTTGCTAGGTCTAATCTTAATGAGATTTGTAGCACTCATTCAAGAAATCTATCCTATATGGTTGGTGACCACATGAAAACAAGAATCAAACTTTATGAATTATAAATAGGGAATAGTTATAAATAGCTATAAATTGATCGTAGCTATACGATCAAAATACGGGGCCCGAGTTGTACTATGTGAGCTGAACATGGCTGTATCTTTAAGGTTGTATAAACACATAGGGGACATTCCTGAGTCAGGACAAGACATGCTGTGTGGTACAGATGGGTGTGAACAGCTGCATTCTACATAAAGTGTATTCTGCCTTTTAACCTGTAGGGGTCACTGTGTGGATGTGAAACGTGAAAACAAAATGCTTGGTATTTGTCAAAAGAATTGGCCAAAACCGAATAAAACAATGATGGTTTTAAATCAATACCTGATTCTTCCTGTATTCGAAGAGCTGTGATAGGCCGAAGGCTGTTGCTACAGCTCCTCCCCCTATTAGGGTTCCTTTCACTGCCTTTCTGAAAGCCATTGATCCCTGAAACATTAAAAAAGTTAAGCAGATTTTTGAATAAATGCCTTTGGAAACAGAAAAAGTTCAGAAGACATCATGTTAGTATCACTTCATTTTTCCAAATCCTGATAAGCCTTTTGCAATGTACTGTGTATTTATAATGTATATTATTCGGATAAATAATTTCCATATATAATAATTTTATAATAATTTATGCATTTAGCAGACGCTTTTATACAAAGCGACTTACAGTACATTCAGGCTATACATTTTTTACCAGTATGTGTGTTCACATACATATACATATACACTTTTTTTTTTTAAACACAAGGATTTAACATAATTTCATTGTGTCCAGTGCTTTTTTGAAGTTCATTCTGTTTCATAATTGCCTGTATTATAAATTCCTCCTTTCTGATGTCTTGAAATCAAACTCAGTCCCTCACATTCCTTGACCTTGGCCTGGAGAAATTAAACAAACCCGTAACACTTGTTCACAACTCACCATTGTTTTGTGTCAAAATGAAACAAAACGGTCATATGTCCAGTAGTTGTGTAAACTACGAATCCAAAAACTCACAATCTCTGGTGAAGGTCAAAGTAAAGCTATAATCAATCTCGACCTAATGCTCTGGGTAGGGATGCAAGTCATTTCACTACATGATACTAGAGGAAGTGAATGAGTCATTCTTACTACACTGTTTGAATTCACGCCTGTCCCACATGGTCTGTGTATAGCCAACCATGTGCAAGAAAGAGAGAGAGAGAGAGAGAGAGAGAGAGAGAGAGAGAGAGAGAGAGATTAAATTACAAAAGAAGATGGAGCTGTATTTAGACCTGAAAAGAGACTACAAACCAGCAGAATACCTGAGCTGTGTAAAAGATCACAAATTAAGAAAGACACTGACAAAATACAGACTGAGTGATCACTGTCTGGTTATAGAGAGAGGACGACACAGACAGAGATGGCAGCCGCGAGAACAGGGACTGTGTTCACTGTGCTCACAGAAAGAGCTGGAAACAGAGGAACATTTCTTACTGCACCGTGATTACTATCACAACATTAGAGCTGCATATTTCCCCAAATTCCAACAAATTAAACCACATTTTATGGCATTACCAAATACAGAAAAATTAAGTCACATTTTAGGGGAAGATTCCAAAATGATCCTAACAGCAGCAAGAAATGTATCAGCCTGTCATAAACTAAGACTGTCAGCCAGTGGGCAAAACTGAAGCAAGAGCATTTCTTACATGTACTGCTGTGCAATTAATTTTTTTTTTTTTTTTAAACAATGTCTTTAATATTTTTCTCGTTTGTGGGAAAAAAGAAAAGAAAAACAAAGTACACGTACTTATTTACTTAATTATTTTACATATCTATTGTTGTTTTGTTTATGTATTATATATAATTGTTTATTCATGTAATGGACAATGCTTTGGCAATACTGTGCAAGTCATGCCAATAAAGCTAATTTGAATTGAATTGAGAGAGAGAGAGCGAGTTCACAATGAGTGATCTTACATGGTTATTATTTTACCAGTTCGTGTACGAGAATGAGACTCCTGGACTGGAGTGCAAACATGTACAGTAATTCAGGCTGAAGTCAATAATATATTACATCTCTAAAATCATACCTCAAACCGTTTTCACTTCATTAGAAAAAACAGAACAGTTCCCTTTATGCTCAGTTCTGAAAGTCAACAGTGATGAATACAGACTCGTATAGTGTCTCCGCTGCATCACATGAACTCACATTAATTACAGCTCGTGACAAACACATCGTGCGATAACATAAAGCAAAGCCCATAGCTGGGAATTTGACTTATGATGAAGCGATTTCTATAACACGTATTTCAAGAATTCACACACTATGGGGCTGGTGCAACAGTGGCTGGCTCGCATCCAAGAATAGATCGGACAGCCTCGATGATCGACGTCAAATAATACAGCAAGTAATATGCCAAGACCACTGGTTTTTACTTACTGGTTCTGGCGATGGTGACGATGATGTCTAAAAAAGGAAAATCATGGACAGTGAAGGTATCAACTGGGTGATGTTTACAATGTTACTTATTCAGGAATCCAGGAAGTACAATGACAGGAAGGATTTGACAGACAGGTGGATGGACAAATCAGTACAGAGGATTCACAGCTCTCGTCCAATCATTTTTAGGAAGGCGTGTCCAGGCGTCTAATTGTAGACGCACTTAGAATAGAAAGGTGTTTTGTAAGACCATTCTTTATGAGGGACGGTGTACAAACTCACCTAAGACACTGTTTAACTCTCAGTGAAACAGTATAATTGAACAAATGGATTTGGACCACATGTATAGCTATAACATTAGTTTAGACGAGTATTTTAATCCGAGAGCAATTTATTACTCAATTGTTTACAGCTCATTTACTTAATTATGCATACTGCACGCACTTTAGAATGTTAAAAAAAATTTAAAAAAAATAGTGGATTCTTTGCAAGGCACGTTATCGTGTCAGTTGCGCAGGTGAGACTTTCAGCCTGAAAAAGTTCAGCGCGAGCGCATCAAGCGTCATGGAGCTGGACGCTGCTGACGATACGATGACGCAGCTCGCAGGCCAAACAAAGTTGCCTCTGTTACAGCGGGATTCCCTTCTCACAATGGAAACCCTTCACCGCTCAGAGAGCAGTGGAATCAGATGAAACACATCCTAATCTATTGAAATGTTCCCTGAGCATGATGCAGGTAGAAACAGATATAGCGTCACTATACTGAACAGTGTTTCTAGCCCTGCATCTTTAGATTCAAGGTTATAAAGCGACATTTTATTGCATGTGGTTACATTTTTTCTTTAATATATTTTTTATTTTTAATGAATTACATGGATTTGCCCCTTTCCGCTAAATTCTGTAAGAATATTGCAACAGTAGAGCAATTTGTTGTGTTTTGCACTCTTCTCCATAATCATAGTTTTATTTTATTTATTTATTTTTTATTCCTAATTTGCGGTTTTCCTTTCTTTAAGTGTGTCTGGGGGGGGGGGGGGGCATTTAATTAATCAGCACTTATTGCTGCATTCATTTACGAACTGGATAGAACAGAAGATAATGTCTTTGATTTATTATGCCCGACTGGCGAGTCCCCAAAATAGTGGCAAAAATTCAGTTCATTGCTTCAAATCAGTGCGATCTGATCTCCTGTAGGTGGTTTCTATATTGGGAAATGTTTTTGCGCAACAGATTATGTGTAGGAAATTCAACTCATTTGACCCAGCGGACAGTCCCGCGTATGGAAACGCGCGGACGATTGAATTGCGCACAGGGCGCAATGAGCGCGCTGAAGAACAGTCCCTCTGTCCAGCGATTAGCTGACGTCACGCCCTCTTAGCACGTGGGCTGTGGCATTCAGAGTTCTCATAAACAAAGGCACATTGCGCTCGGGCACCAGTCTTCGCGTGCAGTCGAAGGAGTAAGGTGCGCAAAGACATTGGCTCTACATGCAGACGGTACTTCTACCAACAGGAACAGCTACATGGATACGTAATTTGCAACTGTTTTAAAAGCGATTTGAGGTATGTAACAGTAATTGTATAATAGTAACATGTATTTTATTTAATGAAAAAGCGTTTAAACCTGCTTTTAAAAACCAAGTTTGTGGGAAGATTGTAAAGCAATGCATCTACTAAAAATGCACGCCCGTTTCTTAACTTTTGCCTTTATTTTTAGTTTTTAAAAAATACTCATTTTAATCTTGTCAACACCTTAGCATACATTTTCAAAGTAAAGTTGAAGTCATCTGAGTGCCTTGATGTTACTAAAATATATCAAGTAACTCGCACTGACATGCTTAAACTGTAAGATAGATCACTAATCACTAATGATACATAATATTTCTTTCGCAGAAAATCAAACGCACGGAGAGACACGCTCTGACATCAGCCCCTATTACTGACTTCAGAGATTGTTCCACGAGAGATAAAAGTAGCAGGTGTGCGGAGGTAAACTGAAGCAGGCCAGGGAAATGTATGTCAGAAAGTTTGCATACATTCTTTCCGATGGAAAATATATGTCTACTTCTTACACAGAGGGTTAACTGAGGAAATAAAGGGGTTTTATTTAAAACAGAAACAAAATAAATTAAGAATAAATGATCTTTTATGTTGCATATAAATAGACACTAATTTCCAAAAGTGTAAAACTATCAAACAAATATTAGGCACCTTGTCAGAGAAAGCCTTTACAATTCAGTTCTCTAACACTGCAGCCATGCCCTGCGTCCAGGCTCAGTATGGGACATCACCTCCGGGAGCCAGCCCTGCATCTCAGAGTTACAGCTACAGCACCACGGGAGAGTACAGCTGCGACTTCCTAACACCGGAGTTTGTCAAGTTTAGCATGGACCTGACTAACGCAGAAATTGCTGTCACTTCCTCGCTCCCCAGTTTCAGCACCTTTGTGGACACCTACAGTTCCAGCTACGACGTGAAGCCTCCCTGTCTCTACCAAATGTCCCACTCTGGGGATCAGCTGTCCATCAAGGTGGAGGAGAGACCCGCACACAGCTACCATCAGCAGCAGCATCAACATCAGCCCCACCAGGCTGAGGAGAGCCTACCCCATACCGGACCTATATACTATAAACCATCCTCCCCAAACATCTCCCAATCACCCAGTTTCCCGGCGCCTCCACACCACACGTGGGAAGACAGCGGATCCCTTCACAGTTTTCATCAGAACTACCTGGCGACTTCACACATGATAGACCAGCAGCGTAAAAACGCGATGTCTCGGTTGTTCTCGTTCAAGCAGTCTCCTGTGGACACGCCAATGTCAAGCTGCCAGATGCGCTTCGATGGATCTCTGCACGTGTCCATGGGCCCGGACACCCCGGGTGCGCATCGTGCGCTGGACAGTTTTGCATTACCGGCACATAAACAGCACGCTGTGGGTTTATCCCACTCGCTTAATGTCGGACACCCTTTACTGGAAAGCCCGGTGGCCTCACCCCAGGCAAGAGGATCTCCATTCAGTGAGGGTTTATGCGCTGTGTGCGGGGACAACGCAGCCTGCCAGCACTACGGGGTGCGCACTTGCGAGGGGTGCAAAGGATTCTTCAAGGTACACTTTTTAAAATCACTAATTCTACAAATCTTTTATCCAAATGACACTTATTAGAGGCATAGTCCCACTGGGGTAAATGATTATAGTTCGTGGAGGGTCCGAACCTATGTTACCAGCCTAACTAGAGATTGGAACAAGAAAATGCATGGTTTAGAACTGGTCTACAGTAGGCTATCCTTAATTATCTCAGTTGTATTGATTTGACCCAATATGCACCTAGGGACACCTCCGTTCATCTCTGCCACCATTACTTTCGTCTAGAATTAAATTGGTTTGTGCTGAGGGTCCTATCGCGCCTAACCGAGCGTAACGGAACTCCCAGTGGTGACATTAAGACAGCTCTTTATGTCACCATCGTGATAGAATAATCTCGCTAATCCGACAAGAGGGGTCGCGGAGAGAGCGTCGGGGGACCCCAAATTATGGCTGCCCACGGATCTGTATTTACCGAATGTCTGCTCTGTCCGGCCCTTGAATGTATTACACAGCTTTGGGCTGGAGTGCAGGGTTTGAGTGTCCTATTCCATTATAACTTCACACTGTGATTGCAGTTCAAGTCGTCCATGCGAATGGAGTATATTTGCATGCGATTAATACGCTACATACATGTGCTTTTTCTTTCTAGCGCACGGTGCAGAAAAACGCCAAATACGTTTGTCTGGCAAACAAAAACTGTCCTGTGGATAAAAGACGGCGAAATCGATGCCAGTATTGCCGATTTCAAAAGTGCCTGGTCGTAGGGATGGTAAAGGAAGGTAATGTCAAGCACTTTTTCAATTGTATTCACATCTCCAATGTTTCGTTAAAATGATGCATGTTACACTGTATTATCACAGGGATGTGGTCTAATATAGTAGTGCAATTTATATAACCAATATATATTTTTACAGTTGTGAGGACAGCCAGTTTAAAAGGTCGAAGAGGTCGCCTCCCCTCCAAACCTAAAAGTCCGCAGGACATTCCAGTCTCTATGACACCCGTCAACCTCCTGAACGCCCTAGTGAGAGCGCATATGGACTCCAACCCCTCTATGGCCCGACTGGACTACTCTAAAGTAAGCATCAAACATTGTGTAAAACGTTAAGCTTTAATGAATGAAGTACTATTTTAACAACTCAATTAACAGTAGAATTTGTCTAATTTGCACTAAAATTATAAGAGGGTAAAGTTGCATTTAATGCTAAACTTTTATCATTTCGCCTGTTCTATTCTGTTGACACTTTTTCTTTTTGTATTAAATTATAGTTTCAGGCGAGTCCAGAGTATCATAGTGGAGGAGATGAATCTCTGCACATTCAGCAGTTCTACGATCTTCTCACTGCTTCGATGAGCATCATTCGCGGATGGGCCGAAAACATCCCCGGGTTCACTGACCTGCCCAAATGCGACCAGGAACTGCTTTTCGAGTCAGCCTTCCTTGAGCTTTTTGTGCTGCGTCTGGCTTACAGGTATGCAGACCTAATCTGAACGGACTCGCTTGTTTTTAAACGGATCTACTTTTCGAAAGACAAATAATCACTTTAACAATTTCTTCCAGATCTAACCTGACAGAGGACAAACTTGTTTTTTGCAATGGAGTGGTTTTACACAAGTTGCAGTGCGTGCGAGGCTTTGGGGAGTGGATCGACTCTATCGTCGAGTTTTCTTCCAACATTCAGAACATGCGCATAGACGTCTCTGCCTTCTCCTGCATAGCCGCTCTCACCATAGTTACAGGTAAGACATGTCTGACCTTTTCCAAGTGATGCACAGAATATACAGCATGCTTCACCTCTGACGGACTGTTTCTTATCTCCATAGAGAGACACGGACTAAAAGAGTCCAAGAAAACCGAGGATCTTCAAAACAAGCTCATAAACTGTCTGAAGGATCAGGTGTCCTGCAGTGGAGAGTTGTCTAAACTGTTGGAGAAGCTGCCGGAGGTGCGCGCTCTGTGCACGCAGGGACTGCAGCGCATCTTTTACTTGAAACTGGAGGATTTGGTTCCCACGCCTGCGATCATTGACAAACTCTTTCACGATACCTTACCGTTCTGAACAATCGGCTGAACTGCGACAGATTCATAAAACCTTCATGATTTCTCGAT